TCGACGGGGCTGTAGTGGAACAGGTTGAGAGCTTCAAGTTCCTTGGTGTCCACATCACCAACAAACTATCATGGTCCAAACACACCAAGACCGTCGTGAAGAGGGCACGACAAAGCCTTTTCCCCCTCAGGAGACTGAAAAGATTTGGCATGGGTCGTCAGATCCTCAAAAAATTATACAGCTACACCATCGAGAGCATCCTGACTGGTTGCATCACCGCCTGGTATGGCAACTGCTTGGCCTCCGACCGCAAGGCACTACAGACGGTAGTGCGTACGGCCCAGTACATCACTGGGGCCAAGCTTCCTGCCATCCAGGACCTCTATACCAGGCGGTGTCAGAGGAAGGCCCTCAAAATTGTCAAAGACTCCAGCCACCCTAGTCATAGACTGTTCTCTCTGCTATCGCACGGCAAGCGGTACCGGAGTGCCAAGTCTAGGTCCAAAAGGCTTCTCAACAGCTTCTACCCCCAAGCCATAAGACTCCTGAACAGCTAATCATGGCTACCAGGACTATTTGCACTGCCCCCCCACCCCATCTTTTTACGCTGCTGCTACTCTGTTAATTATTTATGCATAGTCACTTTAACTCTACCCACATGTACATATTACTTCAACTACCTCAACTAGCCGGTGCCCCCGCACATTGACTCTGCACCGGTACCCCCTGTATATATAGCCTCCCTACTGTTATTTTATTTTACTTCTGCTCTTTTTTTCTCAACACTTTTTTGTTGTTTTTTATTTTACTTTTTATTAAAAATAAATGCACTGTTGGTTAAGGGCTGTAAGTAAGCATTTCACTGTAATGTCTGCACCTGTTGTATTCGGCGCATGTGGCCAATAAAATTTGATTACATTTGAATTTACTCAAATTATGTCAATTAGCCTATCAGAAGCTTCTAAAGCCATGACATCATTTTCTGGAATTTTCCAAGCTGTTTAAAGGCACAGTCAACTTGGTGTATGTAAACTTCTGACCCACTGGAATTGTGATACAGTTAAATAATCTGTCTGTAAACAATTGTTGGAAAAATTACTTGTGTCATGCACAAAGTAGATGTCCTAACCGAGTTACCAAAACTATAGTTTGTTAACAAGAAATATGTGGAGTGGTTGAAAAACTAGTTTTAATGACTCCAACCTAAGTGTATTTAAACTTCCGACTTCAACTGTATATGAGTTGCAGTGTTATATTGGCATCGTTCACATTTGGCGTCAACTTGGAATTTGTGTAGTAAGTTCTATGTATCACTTTAAAGTGTTTAACAACATGCCTGGTACATATATAAGGAACATTTTAAAAAATATATATAGATCCCAACTATTAGTTGAAATTTCGATTCCTAAATCCTGTTCCCAAGTTGGTCTCAATGATTGTAGGCATGGAGTGCCAACAATTAATAATTTTGAAAACACAGTTGATTGACATTCTTTTGCAGTTGTGTCCAAAATGATGTGAGATGGTACCTGTGGGAAATCATTTGTCATTTTTTGGGGCCCAGTCTCTGGCTTGTAAGTACATAAAGAAATGGTTATTTGGAATATTGAATGTATTTAAAATATATTCAAATGATGCAAATGTAACATCTTTATAGAGGTCATAGTGATTTCACACCATTTTGTCTCCATATATAATTTTGTTTGCAGGGGATGGTGGAAATAAATGGTTAGAAACTAAAGGGGAGTAGGGAAGAATATCTCTATCGAAGTTCAGACATACATGCTGACTACACCGGGCATGCGCATGGTGATTTTGTCCATCCACACCAGATGCGATCAGGACACGCAGGTTGAAATATCAAAACGAACTCTGAATGAACTATACTGAACAAAAATATAAACGCAACATGCAACAATTTCAAAGCTTTTACTGAGTTACAGTTCATATGAGGAAATCAGTCAATTGAAATAAATTCATTAGGCCCTAATCTATGGATTTCACATGACTGGGAGAACAGATATGCATCTGTTGGTCACATACCTTTTAAATAAATGGGCCTCACAATGGGCCTCAGGATCTCGTCACAGTATTTCTGTGCATTCAATTTGCCATAGATTAAAATGCAATTGTGTTGGTTTTCCGTGGCTTATGCCTGCCCATACCACGCAACGCGGCTGGTGTGGTAAGTGTTAGGTTATTCAATATCTTGAGAGTTTGTCTGACCAGGTCATTCTTACCGAAGGTAACTTTAAGGGGAGAGCATACAATAGCTCTTAACGATGTGGCCGTACAGGATTTGGATTCTATGATTGTCCACTCTGGAGTTTGAGTCATGAGGATGAATCCAAAACATTACAAATGTTTGCAGCCCAATAATATTTCTGAAAATGAGGGAGCCCCAAACCCCCTAGTTCTTTTGGTTTTTGCAGTATGGCTTTACAGATTCGTGGCTTTTTATTATTCCATATAAACTCTGAAATCATTGTGTCCAGCACCTTGGGATACATCGGAAAATGTTTTCGGTAGGATGTTAATTTTTATTAAATGTGTTCGACCCGTAACTGATGTTGGTAGGGTTGACCATTGTGTATCAGGTCTTTCTTAGTCATTTCCAATTGCCGCAAGAGATTTTCCTTCAAGTGTGACGAGGATGGCGTTACAGTAATTCCTAAGCATCTAAAATGATCTGTAACAATTTTAAATGGGCCATTTAAGAGTAGTATTAGACAGAGTAGTCTTTTGTAATTGGGTACAGTTAACGTTTGCTGTAATTTAGTTTGTATCCTGAGATGTTCCCAAATTGAGTTAAAATATTAAGGACCTGTGGAATAGAAGCAACCGGGTCTGAAATGTATAAAAGCAAGTCTTCTACATTAAAGAAAATAATTGGTTAAGGAAAAATGTGATAAATAAAAAAGTATATCAGTTTCACTTAAGGACCAAAGGATTGACAGCCGTCCCATATAGATTGCAAAATAGTGTTTATGAACTGACACACAAAACGACACCGGATTCAAAAATTAGAATCTTTCAATTTTGAAATTATTATATAAAAATCTTGCTACCAATAGAATGTTATTTATATGGGGGATACAATCTTCCCAGCTCTGCAGATTTTGCTGTGAAGAGACAGAATCATTAGATCATTTGTTTTGGGTCTGTCCATTTGTAGCTTGTTTTTGGACACAGGTCCAGGAATGGCTAAAGGATTGCAATATTTACCTGGAGCTAACCTTGCAGATAGCATTACTGGGTGATCTGAAAAGTCATAGTCAATCGATCAATAATATAATAATACTTTTAGCAAAAATGTTTATTTTTAATTCACAATCTGTAGAAGCAATGAGAATAGAAAGGTTCAGAACTTTTGTAAAACATCACAGTACGGTTGAAATATATATGGCAAATAGAAATCCTATATGGATGGTGTTAAGAGATAGATGGGAGGTATTGAATAGAGTTGAAGGATGGGACTAATAACAAATAACAACATAATAACAAAGATGGCTAATAATGTAAGCATACTGTGTCAATAATAAGTATATAGGTTGTATGTTGGGAGCTTTTGGGAAAGAGCACAGTTAGAAAGATATGGCATATAGAAGCAAACCGGATGGACATCATGAAAATGATCGGAGAGGTTGAGAGTAGAAGAAGTTCAGGAGCAAAAAAAAATATATATATAATATAATTATTGTAAAATTAACTGTGTCCATAAGGTGTAGATAGTAAGTATAGACTGGAAGTAGAGGCCTGGGCATTGTTGTGCACTAATTTACTCCAAGTAGGAAAAAAAAAAAAATGTTTTCTGTACATACACTTCCTGTTCTGTCCTCTCTTTTCACTCCACTAATATTTTTGTGGCCCGGATTGAATTGGCCAGGGGTTCTATCGCAATGGCAAATAGGAGCCCAGAAAGTGGTCACCCTTGCCTAGTTCCACGATTTAGTGAGGAAATATTGTGATTTGTGGCAATTAATTCTTACTGAAGCACATAGTAAAGCATACAATACTTTTACCCAGGAAATTAAATTGCAGCCAAATCCAAATTTTCATAACGTTGCTAAGAGGTAATCCCACTCTACGCGGTCAAATGCCTTTTCGCAGTCTAATGATATTAAAAGCTAATTTATTTATAAATCTGTAGAGTTATACATGTTCAATGTCTGTCTAAGATTGCAGGAGAACAGGTGACTTTGTATAAATCTGGTTTGGTCCAATGATATCTATTGATTAATTGTCTCCAACCGTTGAGATAGAACTTTAGCTAAATTCTTTGCGTCCATGTTAATTGAGGATATGGGGCAATAGGAACCACACTCAAGTGGGTCTTTTATTGTGTTTTAACAGTAATGACATACATGCTTGGTTCATTGATGGAGGAAGTTATTTGTTTTCAAAAGATTCATAGTAAACTGCATGCAAAATAGGCGCGAGTTGGACATTTGTTTTGTATAAGTCAGATGGGAAGCTGTCAGGTCCAGGTGACTTATTAGTTTGCATTGATTTAATAGCTTTTTTTATTTTATTGACACTTAGCTCTTTGTCAAGTGTATCTCTATCTCTAGAATCAAGAGTGGGTAATGAGAGGTTGTTTTAAAGAATGATTCAATTAAGGGAGTGTTTTCAATGGATTCTGATATAAATTAGAATACGTTTTTGAACACAGTTTATTTTATTGTTGTCACAGGTGGCCATACCATTACTGTCATTTATTTGTGCAATTGTATGTGATGCAGCAGATCGATGTAGTTGTTGCGCTTGTATTTTACTGGCTTTTTCCTCCAGATTCGTAATATAATGGGGACAATGTGTGACATTGGGATCAACATTTCAAAGTGGTTTGAAACAAAATAAAAGTGAATATATGGAAATTGGCCCATAACTCCACCAATACAACAACATAGGCCTAGGACTATACATCCTTTAAGCAGGGTTAATCTACTGTATCTAGCAGAAGAAGTAGCTATAGGCTACTAGTTGGTCCACATATTATTACTTCAGTAATCATTGACAAACATTTTCATGTATCTTTTCCTGATCACCTGTTTTTTCAGAGTCTTCAGCAGCTGTCCAGGCGGACTATCTCCAGTAGTGCCCGCAGACAGGTGGACAACATGGTCAAAGAGAAGCAGAAGCTGTTCCAGGTAAGGTCTGGGCCGGGGTCGAGACAAACGGGTGACGATGCAGCTGAGACTTCCCCTGAAGAGCAGTTGAAATGTGGAACTGAACACGTGTTTACCGAAGCTGAAATACTGTTTTTAAAAGTAGAAGTTGGCAATTCTAGCCTGGTTTAGTTTTATTTACCTCATTTGACAGTCAATATTTGTTGTTGTTTGACCAGTAATGGTGCAGTAATGCTAAGGTTAATGTTAAAGTTTGCACTTTATTCTCAGGTTCTGGAAACAGAATCTTATTTCCTCCCCTTTGTAGCCTGAAAGATAAGTATGTGTTTGCTCATAGGGTTCACTCATAGTTTGGGCTGGACTAACACATTTTTGCATGCAGTATGATAAGCAAACAGGCACCAGCCAATGCAAAATCCAATGCTTTGCTGAATCTTGTCTAACCCCTATGGTGTCCTCTGCTGGCACTCACTCTGCCTTTAAAATCATAGAGCTAAAGCAATGACTGCTTCTCTGCAATTTGTTGTTGAAATACATTTTAGCCTAAGAACTTCCTGACCCTTTTAAGGTTATATGTTTACGGTAAGTGTTTCCGTTTGTAGTAGGTTCGGCTATAACATCTCCCAAGCAGCACTTTGCTCTCTTGTTAAAAACCTTTAGTTGTTTTAATTGGGGTTATATACGTCTCACTGAATATTTGAGGCTTTGCCAGGGCTATTATAGTGCCTTGCTGATGAATGAAATGCATCAATAAACATATTCAGGTGGTGCAGAAGTGTTTAGACCATTTACAATACTACCATCAGACCGGTACCCATGCAGAATCATTTAACTTTTGGTTCATTTACGTTGCCCTAAAGGGCTTGTCAGTTTTCTGAATGTCGGATGAACATTTCCTTTTTCCTCTTTCCGCAGGCAGATAACGGGATTCCAGTCCATCTGAAGGGAGGAGCCAAGGATGCTATTCTGTACAGGCTAACAATGGCCCTTACAGTCTTTGGTAAGTCTGCATTAAACTGAAATTGGGTATGTGATGTTGTACAGCCCTGATATGAACCTCCTTGAATGTGACATTAAGTGTTAATGGCATCTTTACAGCAGGTAGTCATGTAATCTTGACTAGAGTCATGTCTTGCATTTCAAGTCTAACCACAAACAGTGCAGTCAAATGCCAGTTTCACACACATTTCTTGCTTTGCCTGTTATATTCAAAATCTTTCCCTTCTCTTCACAGGAAGTGGATTTGTTTTGTATGAACTCCTCAGTGCAGCAATGCCCAAGAAGGCATGAGTGCCCTTGTCCATCCCTACATTAATGTTCTCTGTTGTACATATGTATGATCTGGGAGATTATTTGTCCTGTCAATAATGGCAATATGTTTCTTGCCTGGGATCAATATTTATTGATTGTACAATTTAATCTACCACAGATAATAAAACGACCTCAATACAAAGTCATATCCATGTGTATGTCTTCATTTTAAAATCTCAATGCATTTAATGTTGTCATATACAGACAGCTAAAAATATATATGTACAGTACCAGTCAAAAGTTTGGACAAACCTACTCATTCAAGGGTTTTTATTTTTTACTATTTTCTGCATTGTAGAATAATAGTGAAGACATCAAAACTATGAAATAACACATATGGAATCATGTAGTAACCAAAAAACTGTTAAACAAATCAAAATATATTTGAGATTCTTCAAAGTAGCCGCCCTTTGCCTTGATGACAGCTTTGCACACTCTTGGCATTCTCTCAACCAACTTCACCTGGAATGCTTTTCCAACAGTCTTGAAGGAGTTCCCACATACGCTGAGCACTTGCTGGCTGCTTTTCCTTTACTCTGCGGTCCAACTCATCCCAAACAATCTCTGTTGGGTTGAGGTCAGGTGATTGTGGAGGCCAGGTCATCTAATGCAGCACTCCATCACTCTCCTTCTTGGTCAAATAGCCCTTACACAGCCCGGAGGTGTGTTGGGTCATTGTTCTGTTGAAAAACAAATGATAGTCCCACTAGGCACAAACCAGATGGGATGGCGTATCGCTGCAGAATGCTGTGGTAGCCATGCTGGTTAAGTGTGCCTTGAATTCTAAATAAATCGCAGACAGTGTCACCAGCAAAGCACCATCACACCACCTCCTCCATGCTTCACGGTGGGAACCACACATGCAGAGATCAGCCGTTCACCTACTCTACGTCTCACAAAGACATGGCGGTTGGAACCAAAAATCTCACATTTGGACTCATCAGACCAAAGGACAGATTTCCACCGGTCTAATGTCCATTGCTCGTGTTTCTTGGCCCAAGCAAGTCTCTTCTTTATTATGGGTGTCCTTTAGTAGTGGTTTCTTTGCAGTAATTTGACCATGAAGGCCTGATTCACGCAGTCTCTGAACAGTTGATGTGTCTTACTTGAACTCTGTGAAGCATTTATTTGGGCTGCAATTTCTGATGTGCAGTTAATTCTAATGAATTTAACTCTGGGTCTTCCTTTCCTGTGGCGGTCCTCATGAGAGCCAGTTTCATCTTAGCACTTGATGGCTTTTGCGACTGCACTTGAAGAAACTTTCAAAGTTCTTGAAATGTTCCGTATTGACTGACCTTCATGTCTTAAAGTAATGATTGGACTGTTGTTTGTCTTTGCTTATTTGAGCTGTTCTTGCCATAATATGGACTTGGTCTTTTACCAAGTAGAGCTATCTTCTGTATACCACCCCTACCTTGTTACAACACAGCTGATTGGCTCAAACACATTAAGAAGGAAAGAAATTCCACAAATTAACATTTAAGAAGGCGCACCTGTTAATTGAAATGCGTTCCAGGTGACTACCTCATGAAGCTGGTTGAGAGAATGCCAAGACTGTGCAAGGCAAAGGTTGGCTACTTTGTAGAATCTCAAATATAAAATATATTTAGATTTGTTTAACAATTTTGGTAACTACAGGATTCCATATGTGTTATTTCATAGTTTTGATGTCTTCACTATTATTCTACAATGTAGAAAATAGTCAAAATAAAGAAAAACCCTTGAATGAGTAGGTGTTTAAACTTTTGACTGGTACTGTATATAAAAAGCTTTGTATATGACAATTCTGTTTTTAGCTGTGATTGTGCACATGAACCAATACATTAACCATTCTATGGGATAAAAGCCCCAGGGCCTATAGCCTAATGGTCACTTCCGCACATGGTTGACTGTCTGTGCCGCCCTAGATGTATGTCCTACTTTTAAACACTAGAGGGCCTCATTGACCATGAAATGAGTGACGGAATCTAGATTTGGTTTGAGGAAACTGTCTGGACTGACAATTTCTTCTCAACTATGATCCATTCAGAACGTTTACAATTAAAGGTGACACTGCCTCAATGATACCAAAACTGTTCAAGGCTGTTTACATGGCCTACCTGACCTGTAATGACTTAATCAAGCGAAATGGTACTAAATAAGTTATATATTTTATTATTTGTAATTGTCATTAAATATAGGACTGTGTTACTGTGTTTTAACATCGGTGGCTCAAATTGGTTTACTCAAATGTTTTATGTGTAAAAGTTGCCTGGGCGAGCGCATCAAGAGATCCACAAGAAAATTCACAAACGGATCGTTGGATAGTAAATTCAACAGATTTTAATTGATTGAACAAATAGTTAAAATGAAATATAAATATATAGTAGGCACCTTTTTGACCATATATATATATATATATATATATATATATATATATATATATATATATATATATATATATATATATATATAGCCTACATTTTAATTTCTGCACGGTTGCCCGTTAGGCACTTCAAACTCATAAGATATGCCATATTAAATGCAGAAAAGAATGCAGTTTCCAGAAGTGTATTCCCACTTTGGGGGATGTTTCATATATCAAACCATGGCAAGGTTTACCAGTGGAGTTTCGTAAGAGCTTATGGTAAAATGAGAGTTGGGAACAGCCCCCTATTAAGTAGCAGATTGTGGAAAGATTCTTCCCACTTGGAAAGAGGCTTTCTTTCTGGGACACATGCTGTTGGAGCTTCCAGTAGCCAGCTAGAGGAGAGAAGGGTCCACCCAGAGCTCCTGAAAGTGCTCTATTAGTTTCTAGAGGGGGAGTCTTCAAGGCGGGTGCAGTTACATTTTTTGATTTTATTCTGTCAAGATTGATCAGGTGAGCAACATATTTTATTTTCTTCTATTCTGCTGTGGGTTAGAAATAATATAAGATTTATACAAAATAAATGGTTTTCAATTAATAAAACATTGTGCTTAGCTGTATGTGCTATATTTATGCGCTTTTACTAACGCAAGGACTGATTTAATTCCTTTTCTGCGAATAACTGCCAGACAGGTGATCTTTTTTTCAGTTTGTGCTTGGTTAATTCTTCAGCCTGTATTTTTTCCATAAAGGAACATATATGTTTGGATTATGACGGTACATCTGTGTGGAATCAAGAAGTATACTGTATTAGTGTATGAGCATCGAATTAGTATAGCCTAGTCAAAGTAACAAATAAATTAGTTGATCATTAGTAAAATTTGCTAATAGGCACATTGTTTTGGCTAAAGTTATTTATGTTACATCGTTTTTTAAGATATCTATGGGCCTGATGTATATTAAGTTGACATTCATGATAGGATATATAAGGGCCACTTCTGAGGGTCTTAGGAGCCAAATGGGATAACTGAATGAAATGTCCTTCCAGTTGCAGTAGGCCCGTATGAGCTCTTGTGCCACTAGGCGGGGCGCACAACCTTTAGGACCAGTAGCCTATTTCTGATATTCCAAGCATGTTTGCTTTTGATTAAATTCTAAAACGTTTTCAATGTCTAGCCTATATGACAGGTCGAATTATGATTTAATTATTTATTAAAAGTATGTGAACAAAGTCGTTTTTTACTAATGGTTAATAATGAATAGAGTTGATAAAAATTGATGATAATTCTTGAGACCACGGTGCATGAGGTGACAAAAGATAGGTTATTACTTTCTTCACTCCTTTAAACCACATTTACCCAGACAGTGGGTTCAGTAAATTCCTCCGCTGGCAAATGCCTCTTCAGTCACGCCAATTTAATCTATTCCCTTTCAAGGGCTCGTGACTTTTTGCCCATTCTCTTCCCAAAGCTAAACTTAATGGGTTTGAACACAACTCTCTCCTCAGATTCATTCATGTGCTGCTGACCCATAACGTCTAAAAATGAAGATAAGGCTGTCATTGGCCGTGTCGGCTTTCATTGCAGTGTTATTCGCCTCAGTTGAAGCTCAAGGTAAATGTGCCTCCCTCCCGCTCTATCCCTCCTGCCCTTTTCACATACCCCCCCACCCTTCTCTCTCTCTCTCTAGTTGTTTGATATAAGCCTACAGGGTTTAGGATTTAGGGGATTTATTGTGTGAGAACCATGACATGGAAACAATTCTAATGCATTGTACACTATGATTCATAAAATGATACCCAGTTGTGTGTTTTACTTGATTTGACTTGCCCTGCACCCAGGGGCATCATGCACCCCAAAAATCTGAGGGCACAAAGTACATGTTGTAGGGGGTGGTCGGGTGAATATTGCATTTTTCAAACACCTGAAACAGCTTTTTCCTGGAATCTAGAGACATAATCATTATGCCTCATTTTATGTAAAAAAGTTTATATTTTTCTGCGTAGGTTATCTAAGCATACTACCTCTTTACCTGTTCAATTGTCATTTTAATAAATTATGGACATTGATTCTTTAAGAACTTTTATGCCTTTAGTACAACTGCCACATGGGTATATAGTATCACAACCCAAGAATGAAAGCAATTTTAGTCAATTGTGCATCTATTTGTCATTAGAGTTTTGAAAAGAACACTCTAAATATCTGTCAATCTTTGCATGCATAGCTCTGTCTATGAATTTCAGTGGTTACATTTCCCCAGCCCCAGTCTGCATCTTTGCTAGAATATGGGTAAACGATTGAAAGGAATCTGAGTCTTATTCAGTACATTTAGTAATTGCTTGCTTTTTTAAAGTCTAGCAACCTTGCCAGCAGGCATGCAATTGCCAGCTAAGATAGTTAGGCTAGCTAGACAAGCTAGCTCAAACTTGATTGATAGCCTGAAATTGATTATTGGAAGCTCGTTATGAGGTTGGGAGATTGGGAGCCCATTTATAGATGCTAACTGGCTAAAGCCTACTTCATAACATTGCTTGCTACCTGGATAGAATTACAGAGAAACAACAAAACATTTTAGTTTTATTTATTAATCAAGAAGGAATCAATAGGCTATCAATATCTAGATCAAATTAATT